CCTGCTGAAGAAAATACAAGACTGGTAACCAGAAATTCATAGCTACATGAACCTTAGCATCCAACAGATCATCAGAAGAATCACAGAACAAGAGTAGAGGAAGAAGCGAGAAACATACGACAAGTAATTCTTTCTTCTGAGATCCATTCCCCTTACCTCTAAGTAGTTCTTCCACCTCTCCCTCCTTTTTTCCTGGGTAAAAAACTTGATTTTAATATATTAGGCATGTGTTTATTATTTATAACAAGTAAGGTATGTGTAGAGAGAAGGTTTCTACACTTGCAGAGACTCCTACTAAACATGGTTCCTCAGTTCTGGTGGTGTTGGGGTATAGAGAGCAGGATTGCCTCCTGTCTGGTTACGGCACTTTCCCTTTCGCTCATAGAATTCAATGGTAGTCAAGCCAAGCCAGACCTTTATCTGCACAGCATTTCCCTGGGTTCCCATTAGAATCCAGTAGGATGTTGGGAACTGCTTTTTATGCCTATGGAAAAATGCAAACAAGAAATAGGTTGCTTGTGACGATAACCAGTGTAGGTGTGCAGGAACCAATTTATAGACCATTTTACTTTGATTCTGGACCTGTGAATTTTCCTTTGCTCTTAACTGCCACTAGGCAGCAACTAGGGCTGGTGCTCTACCTTTATATTCGCTATAAAAATACATTTATTTATTTATTCATTCATTCATTCATTCGACTTTTATCCCGCCCTTCCGCCGAAGCGGCTCAGGGCGGCTCACAGCATTAATAAAACAAATATACATAAAACAATCAATCCATAAAACAACTTAACATAAAGCGGCTCGGTATATCATTACAACTAAACATCAACCACATTGTTATCTACCTATACAGAGTACATGCCTTGGCGGGTTGGCAAGGCTTGGCTGGCATACCGTCGCTCTCACTGATATGCCCAGCGGAAAAGCTCCGTCTTCACGGCCCTGGGAAATTGCTGGAGATCTCGCAGGGCCTGGATCTCATTAGTGCTGGTGCAGCTAGAGAAAATGCTCTAGACCTAGTTGTTGTCAACCTGGCCTCTTTAGGGCCAGGAAGGGTCAGGCGGTGTTGCGTCCCAGATCTCAGTGCTCTCTGGGGAACATATGGGGAAAGGCGGTCCCTCAGGTAGACAGGTCCTGACCATATATGGCTTTAAATGTCAAAACCAGCACCTTGAAGCAAATCCGGAATGCTATTGGCAGCCAGTCCAGTGCAGCGCCTTTAGCACAGGCTGGATGTGCTCCCGCATCGGGAGGCCCATCAACAGCCTGGCTGCCGCGTTTTACACCAGCTGCAGCTTCCAAAGTTGCCCCAAGGGCAGCCCCATGTAGAGAGCATTATAATAAGCATTAGCATTACAATAAGCATTAGCAATAAGCCACATGTCTCTGCAGAATCACCTGCAACATTGAGCCCAGACAGATAACCCGAATACCCTCATGTGACCTTTCTCACTCCACGGTAGCTTAGTGGTCTGTCATCACCATGACTAGTGGTCTTTGCCACACATTTAGCGAGGGGATGTGTAGTAGAATGCATACTCTTTATCTGTATGGGGAGAAAGGATAGGACATTCCATCAAATAAATCAATAAGCGTCTCCACCCATGGTGGACAAATATCACAGATATTGTTCTCAAGTCAAAACAAGTTGGCCACCCATGGCTTTTAAGAGGACAAATCCTGTGAAATGGGAGCCTAAATGTTAATTGAATATTTGTCATATTGGTTGCTGCATTCATACCTGGACAAAGGAAATAGACTAGATGCTATAGCTGGTGAGATAGCAGACGGATTACTTCCCCTCTTCTAGCTGCTACCTAATCAAGTTCTCCCAAGTCCTCAGACAGCAACCTGATCATGTGGAGAAAGCCATCTGGGGTCGAGTTCAGATGGGCAGTTTGCCCCAATATAGGCGCGTGTGAGGAACGTTTCACAGCCGGATTAAATTGGCCATTCACACAGGCACATCTGTCCAGCGTTCCCCACCCGTACTCAACCCATTTGTAACACTTTGCTCCCGAGTTTAAAAGATACCAGGTGAAAGTGGTAGCAAACCCTGGAAAATGTGATTATCCCGCGTCCATCCTGCACCAACGAAGTGTGAATGCCAAAAGCCACATTTTTCTTATGCGCTCATGTGCATAAGCGCATATCTCCAGACTACAAAAAAGAAAGCCGCACCTTACAGCTGTGCCTCCGGGCCAACAGTGTGAATGCTCCCTTGCACCTCCTCCCGGTATGCTCCCACATCAGCCGCTGCAGTTCTTTTGCCACAACTCCCTCCCGCTTCAAACTGCCCATCTGAACTCAACCTGCGTATTTACATCCCAACAAATGTGTCCACTGGTTGGGGTGGAGTTTGCTGTGATTCAAGCCCATCTGTCATTTTATGCATTTGGGACACCTGAAAAGGGCTAGTATGGTGAGGTGAGCAGAGTGGCAGACCAAAGTAAGAACATCAGAACATAAGAGGAGCCAATGTTGGATCAGGCCAGTGGCCCATCCAGTCCAACATTCTGTCACACAGTGGCCAAAAATACCAGGTGCCATCAGGAGGTCCACCAGTGGGGCCAAGACACTACGAGCCCTCACACTATTGGCCCCCGGCAAGCACCAAGAAGACAGAGCATCACTTTCTCCAGAGTCCCTATCCATACCTTGTGGCTAATAGCCACCAATGGACCTCTGCTCCATATGCTTATCTAATTCCCTTTTGAAGCCGTCCATGCTTGTAGCCG